TAAAATCCATGTGTAAAGATATTGATATTTTAAGAGATCTCATATTTTAATCCAATATAAATAAAATAAATTAAGCGAATTAGCCCCCATTATGAGGTAAGGTTAAACATATAGGTTTAATAAAGTCTATAAATAGGTTATAAACAGAAACACAACCTAATCCAAAGATCATAAATTTGCATTTCTTGTTAAAATGGGAGATTTACAAGAAAGTTTAACTATGGGAGGTGTACTCCAAAGCTATGAGGAGAGCGAGGGTTCAAATGTCATTGAGGTTGTTGTAATCTGTTTTTAGAATAATGCTTATGTAAGAATGATAGTTTAAGAATCTGTTTTAATTTTGTAGGAGATTCCAAGGAGAGAATTTCACATTCCTCAGCCGTTAATGGATATCATTGTGAGTTAGGTTGGTGAAGATGGTGTCGATGCATTGAAGAACTTGTTGCTCGCTGGGAGAGAGGGGAAGGATGCTGTTCTGTCGAAGAAAACCTTAGCATCCGTTCGCATCGATATGGACCATCATTTCATGTGGTGGTCAATGCCACATTCAAAGTACTACACTTTCTACCAAAAGTGTCTTGCCGCGAATAATCCGTATGCACAGTTTGTAGAGAAGCACAAAGGACTGTGTTATGAGTCGACGATAGGGTACTTTCAGATGAGATGCCGTTGGAATGTCACACATGATAAACGCATGGTGACATGAATGTGTGCGTGGTACAGCCACCTTTTCAGCCCGGAAGGGTCGGGAGGCCAAAGTGCCCTAGGTGCAAGAGAGTTGGGCACAGATTCAACAGGTGTGTCGATTAAGTTATGGAGGATGTAAGCGGGATGTTGGTGTAGAGTTCATGAAAGTATGAGCAATGTTTTTTGATAAGTTATTTGGTGATAATCCTAGATGTAAGCGGGATGTTATTTTTGGTTATCTAATACCTTTAAGTTGCAGGGGAATGTATAACATTTAAGAACTTTCTTTGTGTCCCTTTAATGTTATCCATATATTTCTTAAAGTTCAATGTCCGGCAAAATTAAATATGGAATGAGATATTTTCTTTCCTCCATCTATTGTTATCCATATAAACGTTATTGTACAATGTCAAACCTTTATAAAGTTTGTAAATATTTTGGTCAAATTTAAGTAAAAGAATTCTAGTTTATGGCCATGGGTTATTATCCATATAATAGAAATAAAATATGTAAAAGTGCCGAGAAAATGCCGTTTTGATTGGTTTGGAAGCATGGTTGGAAAAATTATAGCTTGCCCACAGGAATAGTAGATTAAAATTATCTCGTCCACAAACGAGCATCGGACGTAGCAAAAGGTATTGATGTGGAGTGTCACTCGCGATGTAAAAGGTGTCAGTATTGGCTAACGTGATGTATGTGGCCTAAAGCGTAGGAATAGGTTATAGGTACATAAATTAAAGTTTTTATAATTATGGTTGAGTTGACAATTAGAAAGTTTAAATATATGTAATTGAATTGATGGCCTAAACGAAAGATATTTAGCTTTTTTTTTTTTTTCAAGAAATGGGACTGAAAAAGTGAAGTTAGCTTGAATTGTGTGATTACAGTTAACCGAGGAAAAGGTGGAAACTACAACTATAATGGATGATCCTTTATGGATGGGGAATAGAATCTGTCAATTAAAATGCAACATTACATATATCATCACACAACAACTACTATGATAATAGTTTAATTTTACAAGTCCTAAAAAATTAAAAAAGGAAAAAAAATAAAACAATGATCAAAGCGAAAACAACAATGTTTTTTTTCATACATCTAAGCTGCGTTTTCAAGTCTTCAATATCTTTCTGAAGAACAGAATCACAGGCCCGAGTCTCCTCTGACAAAGTGCTTATGTTGGAATCACAAATATTTAACCCTTTTTGCAATGTGAGTGTAGCACCCTCAATGTTATCCACTTTCGTAATCAACTCCTCAATCTCTTCTACCATACATGTATCCGTCCATTTGAACAAATGGTTCCTATTCTCCTGTGTAATCGGAAATTAATTCTGATATAAATGTAGCAAAAATAATATAAGATAGTTGATTTACTTACAGGGGATCCCAGAGGACATGCATGAAACAAGCGACCAGGATTTCTTGGAGTTGCTGAGGTTTTCATCACAACTTCCTCGCCACAGGGGCAGAGTTTCGGGATACCTCGAAATCGATCTACCATTTTCTTGTTTGGACCTTTATGTTGGAGGAGAACAAAAAGATTGTTATGATGAAATCCCTAGATTTAGAATTTATTCCTTTCTGACAAAAAAAAAAAAAAAAAAAAAAAAAAAGAATTTATTCCTAAATTTGAACTACGTCGTTTTGGTGTAAGATGAGTATGAGTAATTCTGATATTGTCTAAAAAAAGAAAAAACAAATTTGCCCAAAAAGCATTTTGTTACATTATCAGATTATCTCATGTCATTGTAAGAGTCCATGAATACTAATCCACCAGTAACTGACATAATATAATTCGTAGTAATTAGTTGTCAAACATTATTTTGAATACCGAAAACTGGTAAATCGGAAGATGTTAGCCGTGTGATCTGTACTCAATGGATTGTAAAACAGCGTATCAATAAAAAGATTCATTTGAAAGGCAACTGCAGATAAAAATACACAAGTCTTTATCGAATGCCTTTATCGAATATCATTGTAAGAGTCCATGAATACAAATCCACAATCTACAAAATGAAATAACATTCGTAGTAATTTATTGTTTAACATTTATTTAGTACAAGACGCTGGTAAATCGGAATATATCAGCCGTGTGGTCAGTAAACAATGGATTGCAAGACGTGAATGAATAAAAACAGTCATTTTAAAAGGCACATTAAGATATAAAATAGATCATGAAACAAAGGATTATCCATAGAAACAAAAGCTAACACAAGTCATGGATTTGAAAGACATAAAATAGAACAAAGCAAGATGGGCAAATATCCAAAGCCCCATAATGGACTAAACCACAATCTGGTATAACGTTTAAGCCCCCGTACCCTCGGTAAAGATGCTTTCCTGTTGGACCCATGTCTGATATCTGAGCCATCACCTGGTCAGCGCAATTAACAGCTTCTTGGAAAGTTGAAAACTTCTCCAAAAACTTTTTGAGTATCATACTTCCTTCACAAGGATTTCCGCATAAAGCATAGAAAATGCCAAAAGCAAAATAGGAATGTATGTTGTGAATCGCAGCTTCACCAAGCATATCAAGAGATTGAACAGAAGGGCCAACAAGTGCAGCTAGTCGTAACCCTTCAATGTATTTGGCAGTGTTGTTGTTAGAATGTACACATCTAAGCAAAAATGGCCGGTACGGTGAGCCTTCAATGCATAAAGAGGCGACAGAAACAAACTCATCAAGACAAACCTCCTTTAATACTTCAGCAGAAAAAACGATGGCTGACCATTCAGGGCCAGCCGCGATGAATGGACCGAGATGACGAAAACCAGAAATACCAATCCGACGAACTATGTCTGTAACTAAAGGAAAAGGAATGTTAGAAGACATTTAGAAAAAAATACACAGAACGATCCTTTAAAAAAAGATATTTAGAGATTTGGTTTTAATTTGAAGCACTTATTGAAAGAACTGATATTTGCCAACAGAAAGTGATTAAGGAGATGAAGTCGGAGACCCTAGATTTTTAAGGATATTTCCCAACTTTAAAACGGCAGCGTTTTAATAAGTTGTTCATTGTGGACAGTATGTTAAATGATTAATCCATTATGTACTATCCACACCAGTAAATCATATGCCAAAGTGTAAAACTAAGACATAAATTCCACAGTCCATAGTTCTGCAGATAAATTTAGGGTTTAGGAAACATAAGGTGATTTAACATCAATTGAGTAGTGTATGTGGTTTTACTCTTGTTCACCCATGTGGAAGATTACTGAAATGGAATGAGTCCATGTAAACAAATCCACATGCCATATATTGTAATAATATATAAGGAAAAATAACATCCTTATAAATCTAGGGGAGCTAGATTAATAGTAGATGATGATGTACATTTTACATCAAACAAATAGAGCTAGCCGAGAAATAAGTTTGAAGGGAAAAGGAAAGGAGATAAGAAGCAACAATCTCTACAACAAATTACATAGATTAGTAGTTGAGCTACCTATTTGTAAAGAGGTGCCACAAGTTCTTGAAACAGATCTATAGCATACTGGCCCCTGAAATCATCAACAATTTCATCTGTTATAAGAGCCATTTTCTCTGCATCTCCACCATTGGCATATATTTCAATGAACTTCATTGACAGAGGTCCACAGTCCCCACTCCTCTCGTTGACATAGATCTCTTTCATTCTTGTCCAACGGAAAGGATCCAAGCCATGTACCTGAGACAGACGTGGCTTGCAAAATTTGTTAATTATATACGGGAGTTGGACCACAATAGGTGCCATGTACTCGTTGACTTTGTCATCATCGTTTAGAGGGTAGTTTGGATCAAGTATGTCGACACACCATGTACCTAAGTTGATTGCCAGTCCTACCCAATGCTGGTTTTTCCAAATCATTGGCATGAAGATAAGATTTATTTCTTCAAACCATTCTGATGGAGATCCAGGAATAGCCCGCTTGAACTGTTGATTCCATTGAACGCACAACTTTTGTTTTGCAGCTAGGAAAGAAGGGTACTTCCCTTGTAGGTAGTTGCCTAGCCACGGTTTGATAATTACAGCGCGTTCTTGAGAGAGTGTGAATCTGTGCCTTTCATCTAGGAAAGTCCCTAGAACCTCCATGTGCTGCAAAATGATAGAAATGGGCAAGTGGAGTAACCATATTAAACATTGGGGAAATAAAATGTAATTAAGTATGGGACATGTCTTACCATGGTATCAACCCAATTGGTTGGCTGGGCAAGCTGGACTAGGAATTTGTTGGTTATCACAATATCACAGCGGGTTAGGTGTTGCCTGAAATTAGAACATAATGTTAGACAGAGGAAAAGGAAACCAAAGTAAAAGGAAAAGGAATGTCATTACGTATGTGGTGCCTTTCGAAGGATGTCCATGAACACTTTGAAAAATGTTTTGTCCAAACGAGGTAACAGGTCATACTGTTTTGTAGGTGAGTTTCTTGGAAGATTTAGAACCAACTCAACAAGTTTGGCCTCTTTGTCTGACAAAGTAGTTGGCTTCCGTTCTCTTGCAGGAGATGAATCACTAACATCAACAACATCTCCACTTTTGACTGCAGAATCCTGAGATTTTATAAGAAAATATAATGAGAAAACCATAAATTAAAACTACACTCAAACGATCACCAGGGTATTATACCTCATCATCATCATTTTCAATATCAACATCTTTATCTTGTTGAGTATCTGCGGCCATCTACATGAGGAAGAAACAAGTGGTAAGATAAACAAAATGGGCATAAAGTTTTATGTGAAAATACAAGATAAAAATACCTTGGTCACTGGAGAAACTGGGCCTTGAATGGAGACGTTGAGAGAGTCTTGGAGAACAGGAGGGTCAATTTTGGGAGGATAGATAGAGGTGGTTTCAATCTGGTGACAGGTTGTTAGAGTATTATTAAAACCAGGTATCCACATGGATACGGATCAGATGAACAAGGATTACCTCCGAGTGTTTTACCAAAACAAAATTTGTTTCAATACCACCAGACTTGATTCCATCGGGTAGATCATCTTGGGGGGTTATCTACAACGTAATTAAATTGTTTAACATTTGATTTTATAGAGTGATGTTAATTATTTGTAAAGTTTTGAATTTATAAATTAATGTAACTGAAGCAAAGGAAGTTACAAAGTTAAGTATCGACTTAATTGACAACCCATAAAAAATACAGCTATCCTCGTGGACAGCCTCGTTTAAAATACCTCAGAGTTTTGAAGTTTATCAGAATTTGATACAATATCATCAGAAATGTTTGCATCAGGTTGATCATCTTGAGGGATTATCTGAATCGTCATTAAATTGGTTT